CCTCCCTGGTTCACCTCTCTTTCGAATTCCTGGATCTGCCACTGTTGATTTATTATATAATTATTTTTGCGCTTATTTATAATGCGTTTATTGCAATTTTCACTTTATCCTCTCAAACAGTCCTAAGAATGTTCAGAGTGCGCTACTTCACAGGGGGATTCGTCCCCTTGACCCCGCCGGGGTCATACGTAATTCGCATAACAGCTCCCCCCCCTTTTGGCATTTTGGCTACGTCCCTGTAGGACGTGCATGTATAGTACTGTATTCCTAGGCCCTTTTCTGATTTGTCAGTTTCCTTCACATGGCCCGTGAGCGCTAGAGAAATTAAGCAAGCACTTTCTGCTATATCCCGGCTGTGTGAAGGCCCATTCTTGTTAGATAGAATGCATACTAAAACCAGACATCACAGAGGCCTATAACACTTCTGAGATATGCATCAGATACATGCTCACTGGGCACAGCTTTTCATCTACTGTGACGTTGCATGTATCTTCACAGGATATCAGTCGTGGCAACTTTTGAATTTACTGTACATGTGAAAACAGCTGAATACGGCAGGATTATTTTGAAAGATCTGTGCACACACGTCTTGTGTAACATTTTGTCTATGAATAAGGTATTAAACTGCTGAAAAATAAAAGGAAAAAATACGAAGTAAGAAAGCAATTTATAATATCTCCCAAATTCGTAACAGTACCCCTCAATCTGGAGAGTGATTATAATTGGTTGAGAAAATTCATAATTCTGAGAGAGTTTGAATTTTCATATAGAATCTCAGTGACTCTTTCTTGGCCTCTCAGGGCAACTTTTTGCCATGAAATGGCTACTGTACATAGTGAGCTTGAGAAATGTTGAGTATGCCAAATTTTTAAATAAGCAATCTAAGCAAACTTGACCATCAAACAAGTAGGTTTATATGATAGTAATATTAAATTAAGAACACATTCTCAATGTAGTATAAATTTTAAGCATAGAGGAGGCCACTGCTAGGTTTATAGAGGCCTGTCTATGGGCCATTTCCAAACCAATACATTAGTGAGAACTTTGCAACAAATTTCATTTTTGTTTTGTTTAATTTAGTGCACTTCAAGAGTGGGATTTTGATAAATATCTAAGAGAGTACAATGAAACAAACGTTGAACTTTGATTTGAAACTTTAAAGGGAGACTTTGATGACACACAAGTGTTGGTCAATTTATTATTACTTAAAAAATTATAAGAATATTCTGAAGGTAATGGATTTTTTTACTAGTATTTTTTCTGATAAAAAATGTGTGTGAATATTTCAAGTAAATATTTAATGTAGTCATATTTATGGAGGAAGTAGTAAATATAGCTTGCATGGTGAATTGATAAAAGTAATGCTTTTGATACTCATATTAAGTATTTTTATTAAAGCTTTCTTTATTCAGGGTAGAACCATTCAGTGACTGCACTGCTTTCAAAGAAAGCCCTGGTACACAAATATACTAAATATATACAGAAAATAAGTTTACAAATATACAATTCAAAATTAATTAAAAAGTATTTAAATTAAAAACTATGATATAATAGACTAAAACTAAAATGAACACAGAAAAATGATAACTATTGTACCTGTTTAAATTATACTGTCGTTCAGAAATATGATTCTATTTGAAATGAAAGTATACAAATTCTATGTATGTATTTATGATAAATACAAAGTTATATCAAACTGTACAAACTTTGCACCCCTATAAGGTTATCATTAACATGTAACACTCCATCCTTTAACATACTGTACTAACACATGATTATAAGGGTCGTTGAAACCAGATAAAAGATAATACCTCATTTGCAGCCATTCCCTTGCGAGATAGGCCAGCTGTCAAGCCTACAGTAGCATATTGTTACAACATTAAACCTTGCGTTAATAGACCCTTTTACATTGTTCACACACATGCACTTTATGCATCAGCGGGCCTAGAGCTAGACTGGACGAAAATTATTGAAAACTACATTGGTAAATGCAGACAGCAATGATCTTTGCTTTATGTTATGAGTACAAAATTATAAAATTTAGATATGAATGGGCATATTTATTGATCTACGCTTTATTTTAAGATAAGTACAAAATGTGCAAGTATGAAATTTGGACATGAATTGGCTATGTACTGTACAGTATGTATATCATTATCATTATATGTACGTATGCTGTATATATGCATACCTAACTAACACTTAATGTCATCCCACAACATCACTCAGTGTTAGAGTTCAAAAATATATACATCATAAATCCTATGTCTATAATGTCAACATATAAATGTTATGTCTATTATTTTAAAATAAATTTGATGTCTATAATTATTGTCAATATATTTAATGTTTATCGTAAGTGCTTGAATAAGTGCTGAGGCGTTTATAACATTTTTGGAGGCTTCAGTGTGGCGCTTATTTCAGGGCGCTGCTTATTCGAGAGCGGCGCTTATTCGAGAGCTGTGCTTATAAAAACAAATTGGCGAGGCGCTTTCCATGCCCGTTCCCATGTTACCTATTCACCTATTCCCGTAGTCTATCATGGTCTTATCATCATAAATAAACGTTTATAAAGAAATGTTTGTCTTCATTTTATTATTTGTTCATTTTAACACTGTGTTATTATATTTAAAACCCTGTTTCTCAAAGTGTTTCTACACACAGCGTAATATAATTATACTCTCGATTAAGCACCGCGGCGCTTATTTGAGAGGGGCGCTTAATGAAAAAAAATCATGATTGGTGCGGCGCTTTTCGAGAGCGGCGTTTATTCGAGAGCTGCCCTTATTCAAGCATTTACGGTAATTTGTGTGATCATACTTGTTTTAATATATATAACAGCATTCAGAGGTTGTTATTAATACTTATGTTCAAATTTTAATATTATTATTATTTTGGTTTAATTTGGATAAAAATCGGTATGTTTTTTCAGAACCAAAGATTCTCACCTGTCACCTCATTACTCAAGTTCATGCTTTCAGAAGCAAAGATACTTGTACTCAAGTTGCAGTACATTAGAACAGTAACTCATTTAGATTACATCTTGCATTGACAACTCGATTTTCAACATTAGTAGTAATGCATATTACAAGAATCTGAATGTATTTTTTAATAGTGGGTGTTAAAGTAACACTAAAGCAGATATAAAAACACTAAAGCAGGTGTAAACGTCTCTATGGAAACCAGATGAATTCATTCTAAGAATCATAACAGTCCATCTACTATCTAAATAAATTGTTTTCTTTTCCTTCCTGCTTCACGCTTTTGTTTGCCATCTTCCTTTGTAGGCCGACCTGTCAACCGAGTAAGGATTACTGAAATAATAGCTGTTAATATTGGAACCAAACCTACAGACAAATCTTCTCAAGGCTCATCAAGTAGCTCAGAATTTACAGGTTAGTATGAGTAGTTGTGCTCATTGTATTATCTGTCTGATTGTCAAACATTACCATCTTGATTTAATTTACTTTCCGTACATAAGTACATAACTCTTTACATTGCCTTTCCTGCATAAATCCACTTATTGGGGAGGGAAGGCAGTGTAAAGAGGAAGTACATGTAACTATAAGGGTGGGGGAATACTAGAGAGTTGGTACAAATAAAAAAAACTATAATTGTATCCGGCAGAGGTTATTTTTGGGCGTCTAAAAAAAATTTGACCCCCTAGGGTAGTGTCTCGATCAGCCCCATTTTCGGTCCACCTTTTGGGCATCTCTGGATCTGACCCATTATATAACAGCTCTTTGGGGAGGGGCATTCAAGGGAATGTAGATTACTGGAAGTTGGGATGCATTATATAATGGTACATAACTCTTTACATTGCCTTTCCTGCATAAATCCACTTATTGGGGAGGGAAGGCAGTGTAAAGAGGAAGTACATGTAACTATAAGGGTGGGGGAATACTAGAGAGTTGGTACAAATAAAAAAAACTATAATTGTATCCGGTGTAAACATCAAGGATAGCTAACGAAAGTCTAGAAGAAGACTTCTTTCCAGTGGGGTCCTTCTGGCGGTGATTGGGCAGTACACCTGGAGACAATCTCCCTATTCTCCGAAGAGTGTACTGCGTTCTTTAACGTGCACATGGGCTATAAATACACACGGGACCAACAGCTTAAACATCATCCAAAAGATGGTGCGCTATTGTAACTTATTTCAGCCCTCTAAATGAAACCAGGAGAGGCAGCGATGGGAATTGAACCTGGGACCTAGAGATCTCCACGGTTCAGCGCACACACAGTATCTACCACCAGATTAGCTGACTGAGCTAAGCTGCTCTGTATGTGTAATAACAGCATCTGTATCTTGGTCATAAAGCCTATGAAATCTTGCGTTTATTATGCAATCTCGATACAAATCTTCAGTCTCATTTTATTAATATTGAAAAATCGAAAAATATGCGAACCACATTTATCAAGTGATAGATAAGAAAATTGCCAGATGTTACAAAGGTTATGCTAAACATTCTGTGATTGGTCGATCGCGTTCACATCAGATTGACATTTATCAGTAATTGTTTATATTAAGAACAGATGGTTGAAATGTTGTCCATTTAAATATTACTTGTCTGCAGACATAACAATTATGGATTATGAATATTTTGGTGTAAAAGAATAACACAATAAATCCGCATTGCAGCTTTTTGAATAGAGTAATTACCAACAGCCATGATAATCCTTTTAAATCAGATATCTTATAAGAATTCACCAAGCAAGTCGCATCTAAACACCTAATTTTTAGTGAACAAAAAGGTACCCTATGACATTACAGTATGTAGTTTATGGGTTATTTATTGTCTCAGTACTGTAAACATTACATTACATGTGAATATTATTGCAAGTGTTTTTTTAATAAAATAATCATCGTGATCGTGATAATCCTGTAACACAGTGAAGCAGAAATCCTTTAAGAAAGCAAGCTGATTAAAGCAGCGTTTTCGGATCTGATTTTATAGTCACATTTGAAGTCCTTCTGTCATTGGTCAAAGATCATTTAGTAAAACGAAAAGGTACCCTATAATAGGATGTAATTTATGCATTATTTATTCTCAGTACAGTAAACATTACATTCCTATGACATTCATTGCAAGTGGTTTTTGAATAAAATTATCAACAATCATTATAATCCTGTACCACAGTAAAACATTTATCCTGTTTAAGACATCAACAAGCTGATTAAAGTAGCATTTTTTTCAGATCTAATTTATTATCACATTTTAGTACAATCTAACATTGGTCAAAGGTCATTTATGTACTGTACCTAGTTTACAGTAAGTAAATACTCTGTATTCTCTTTTGGTTTATTGATTTAGATTATGGAATTCCTTAATTTTATAAGTTGAATAAATGAATGTAATCGATTAAATTGCATTTCTCATGAACAAAAATGGGAAGGGGAGACTATTGCTAATTAGTATTTATTTCCAAAGAATGTTTACATTTAGGTGAAGGATTTAATACATGTACACAGTATTTCATATTTAGAAGTCAGTTGCTGTAAGTTTTTGCTTCATTTAACATACAATTTCCATCAAGGATTACTTCTGGCCCTGTTGGTTTTTATTGTGGAATTTTGATTTAGTTATTAGATTCTGTTAACAATTTTTGATTAGAATCCTGAAATATATTTATGAACGACGGAACAAATGAAGCGGACATGAAGCTAATAGTTTATGGGTAATAAACCGAATAATCTTACCACTGTGAAAATTATATTTTATACATAACGGGAAGGTGTGCTTTTGCTTTTATTGAGCTAACCTATTCCTAAGTATTCTTCAATTCTAGAGGTGCTATATATTAACATTAAGGCATAAAGGTGTGGCAAAGGGAAATGATATCGATAGGCTGATTCTAGTAGTGTACTGTGGTTTAAATCCGTTGATAATTTAATAATTTATTAAAGGGCACTTTTTTTCATTTTCAATTTAATTTGATACTTAATAGATACTATGCATTTTTGTCAGAATATTTTTTTCAGCTTTTATATCATTTTAAATATTTTTGCAGTTTAAAGCCTTAGTACTGCAAATATCTGAAGGTTCTATGTGTCAGTAGAAGTGTAATTTACTTGTCTAAACTGTTTAGGAGTAATTTAATCTTTTTATTGTGTTTGATTTTTCCCAAATTACTCTTAGTAAGTAATCAAGGTGTTTAATGGATTTGCTATACGTACCATTGATTGTTATTCTCACCAAGCTATAGTCTACTACTGAAATATTCGCTAATTCCTTCCATGGAGAGATTGTAGAACATACTGTACAAGTAACCTCTGACATTTACTTGCAAAATAATATACTGTAAAGCAAAGCATCTAATTTATAAAGACCCCTCAATTTTATAGACGGCCTTTGTGCAGTCCAAAATGATCGTCTGTTTTCTATTTTTTTTTTTTTTTTTTAAGCTGCTGAAGACCATTAGTGGTCTTTACAGTAATTGTAGCTGTTTATATAAATAAAGATTTCATTTTGTTTTGGTACTTTGATAATTTGAATATATGGCCTCCCTCTAATTAAAGACCCCTGAAATTATAGACAGCCTCTTTGCAGTTCAAAATGATTGTCTGTCTTCTATTTTTAATTTTTTAAAAGCTGCTAAAGACCATGAAAACCTCAGTCTTAGTTACAGTGGTCTTTACAGTAATTGGAGGAAGACTAAACTTGGAAGAAATGGCTTGAAATATCTGATAGAAACATGAAGTGGAATATAGTGTATGTCCAGATTAACTTATACAAATTCATATAAAACCAAATCATACTACATTTTAATATCTCTTTTCATGGGATTTGCTCCTCTCAGTACTACTGCTCAGGAGTCAGTAGAGGTTGCTTTTAAACAAGGTAAACCTTTTACTGCAAAGGTGGGGTAGGATAACATCGTTGTACATAAAACCCTTGCTCTTGCACCTTAGGATTCAGTGTATTAAATTTAATAATACCGTAGTTCCTCTGGTGTAGGCCCATCCCCCCTCCCCCTTTAAACACAAAAATGAGCCAATTTTTGTTCGTAGGCTTATACCCTTGGAATCTTCTTTTTAATCAATGGTAACCAGACGTGGTACTAGAATAGGACAAGTTCCTGCTGTTCATCAGATTCACTGTTCCAGCTATTAAACCTTTTGAATTCTACTGTAAAGTCAAATGAGGTTCAATACCAATTCACAATGTGTAGACAATTTCCAACATTTAATAATAAGTCTACCATTTGTGTGTTTTACTATTACCACAGCTTCACTTAACAAAACTGAAGATATTAAAGACTGTTAATAGATTATCTTATACTTCTACTATAGTTATTACTGTTTTAACCACATCCTTGATGAATTGCAAAAATCACAATAAAGTACCGGTATCACATACTTTACCGAGTACAGAGTTTGTTCCGTTGATGTGCATCATTCACTGAGAACAGGCTATTGTTTTGTTTATTTTGGAAAGAGAAAGCAATTTAATATGGAAAGAGAAACTGTATATTAAAATGTATCACCTTTTTGTCATGTGATGTGATCCAAACCAATTGCGTTTTTAAACTCCCTGTACATAACCTATCGCTTAGCTAGTAAAACCAGTCCCAGCATAATATTAGTTACTATATGAAATATCATTTTAAAGCATTTAGGTGTCATTCATTTTTTTCGTAATTCCAATGTCCAAAGAATCATTCTTCTTTGTGCTCTCCATGCCTGTAGCTAGAAATCTTGAGAGAGGGTGATGGATACTCTGATGTGGCCCATGAGGAAAGCTAGGGTTCAATGGATAAGGCCACTTGCTGAAGCATTTTTAGCATTGTGAATTTTGATTTTTTACTGTAATTTTGTATACAAAGGGAGGTGGTGGTTTTGTGTACAGGTACTATAGGGAACTCATGCAAAAAGGCATGACCCCCTACCCCCTAAAAATTGAAAAAAAGTAAATAAAAATTGACGCAGTTCGAACTCACAACATTTGGTTCCTTGGAACACATTGTTAATCAACCACGCCATCTAATATAAAAATTAATGGCACTTAAAATGCTTTGATTCTTGTTATACATTACTCAAGTTCCACTACTGGTATATTAAATTATATTAAGCATAGCCTATCCCAGAATGGTTGTATTGTATTACCATAATATTTTATCAGGAAATGCAATTTAAATACAATCATAACAGAATAAATATTTATTCAACAAATTTATAGATCAAAAGATTCTAAGCACCAAGTGGTACACAGATTGATGAAGATATGTTTTAGACCACCTTTTACTGTCTATAGAACTCCTTACATTAACTATCAATTTAAGAGTCTATGCAAAAGACAATATCAATATATACAGTAATCATAGTAATGAACATTTCTAATATTTAATTGAAATCTAATCTAACTTGTTTGCAGAATGAACACATTCAAAATATTTTTAATTTCCTTTTTCTAGTTCAAATGAACATGGACCAATCTTTAATCATGGTAAAATACTAATTTAAAAGAGGTATTAATCGATAACATCCTCAAACTAAAGCACTTAATTCAGCTGAGGTACTGAATAAATAAACTCTGTGTTAATGTAATTTTAGCCTTTAAGTATTTTAAATTATTTACTTGGTTTAGAATCTAATGCCTTACGGAACTCACCGAACCAGAGTACTTCAACAAAATTTAATATTCTGGACAGAACTTTAAATATTACGTGAGCAGTAGATAATAATCTTGTGCATGTTACATCACTGCCTGTGGTGGCGATTTGATAACTGTTCCTACTTTGCCTAAGAAACGGAAGTTACATATATTTTTCTTTAAACAAAAGTCTGTAGTATACGCAAATCACAAGATGAAAGAGGCAAAGACCATAGTTTTTGCCTGTGCAGTATATAAGACAGAACTGTCAAAAGATATGTGAATGGGAAATGAAGACGTCAGAGAAAGGAACGTAGCAGGTTGTTATTTTATTAATATATTTTTAAAATAAAATAACAGTATGAACGGGTAAGAAGGTTAAAAAAATTAATTCAATAGAATTGTCTAATTGTGTAAAGGGGAACATAAATTTATGTCCAAATATTGTAGTTGTATGTTTGAAATTTCAAGTGAAGTACACTTTGAAAATTTGGCAAGACTTTTTTATACCTTGTTTTGCGAACCCGCCGCCTGCCAATAATGATGATTTTGAATAAAAATATTTTATTTTTGGCCAATTAGCCAATGGAAATTTCAGGGAAAAAAAAGTTTTTCTTTATTTTGATTGCACTCGCCACTGCCTTGAAATCTCCAAAAATAAGATATTTATATTTCTTCCTAATTATATAAATTTATAGCATTTAACCATCAATTCACCAATAAAATTTTATTTTTATTTCCTCTTCCGTGTTTGATGTTTTTGCCAAAACTCTTTGCTAAATTAAAAACCCAATTTTTTTTCTTTGATCTTTAAAAAAATATATTTGCAAAACAACGTATAAAGAAGTCTTGCATTTAGCCAAAATTGTAGAAACGATCAACAGTAACAGCTAATAACCCATCATTGATGGGTTATTAGCATTTGTCTTAACTCATACAGTATGCATTAGTGAGGTTTGTGTACTTAACAAATGGCCGTCTTCAAGAATAAATGTAAAAGTATATACTGTAGTATTTGAATGCACACTTACATTTTTTTTTTCGTGTCATCAAAATTGTAGATATTTTGAGAATTTGCGTAGTATTTTCACAAGTGATGAAATAGTAGATTTGAACTAGTCACCTGGTGATTCTCAACTGGAATCATTTCATTTAATACCACACATTTTGTTGGTCAATTACTCTCCATCAAAAAAACATTCCATCATATCTCAAATTGATTAAATATGCATTAGATATGAAATTATGTTGAACATAATGCACAGGGGAAGTGGAATTAAACAGCATACTTGATTTAGCACATTAAAATATGATGAATGTTGAAAGATTGTTCAATTAGCTACTTGAATGTAATACAAGATTTGAAAAAAAATATATAATATTTATCTTCTTTCGATCAACCATTTAATTTAATCCAAACTATGTAGTATTTGTACATAGTATTTTGGCTATCATAAAATGTCAATTTTTTTTTTAATTCATTTTTCAAATATTATATTTTTTAATCCTGTCATTTATTTATCTACTGAGTACACTAGGCTCTCCGTTCTTATATGCTATATGTTAAATGATAGATGATGTAATAAATATTAGTCAATTTACAAAACAATATTAACCTTTAGCTAATAAATAGCTCTGTAATTTCATGAAATGTATGTACAATTTCCTATTTATAATAATAATTTATAATTTTAATAATATATGTTAGACATCAATAGTGCTTCATGCTGAAAAGGCCTCCCAAGCGTTTTACAATTAATAGAACCGGTGGATGGCTATTGCTTCCAAAAGACTTTAAAAACCAACTGTGGTGTGGATGGTACCAGGTGCGATTAGGAATGTATATCCTGCATTATTTGGACAGTACCATTTCCTTTGAGGGGAAATTATCAACAAATTATTATTAATGTATTATGAAATTATTTATAGTAGTCTGTGTTGTGAAAGGTCAGAACTATTATTAATCATTACCTACAGTTGTTGTTAATAATTTTTTTGTTGTAATTTTGTTGTTGAGTTGTCCAAATGCCATTTACAATATATTAGACTTACTGCATTTTCATGATCAGTAAAATTAATAGTATTTAAAATTCTAAGCAACAACATTTTTATATAATAATAATAATAATAATATATTAACAAATGTATTTATACAAGAATAGTAAAAATCTTTGTCCTAAAAGGAATTACTAGGAGGAAACATAACACATATTCATCCTATTTCAGTTCATGTTGTAAGACGAAACAAAGGAAACAAGTGGAGGCTATATGCTGAAACATTTGTGTGTCCGGACACAGCAGCAGCTCAAAAGTGGGTGAAACAAATCCAAAACCATATTGACCAAGGTATTTATCAGGGTTTATTTCATTTTGCATATTGTAAATGACATAGGCCTAAAAGAGGGAAACATAAGAAGGTATTATATATATTCTGTTCATTTGAAATTTGGCACTTTATAAATGTTTTTTTATATATGTTAAGCCCTTCTGTTATTGTCTATGAATTCTTGACAAGCTTCATTTAAATATAGAGAGGAATCTTTAACTAGTATAAATGAATTACACACATGGGACTGTCATCATTTAGAATACTGTGTGAAGGTAATTAATTCGTCTTACATTTAATTACCTTCCAGGACCTGTAAGACCACATCGGATTTTGGTTATTGTAAATCCTTATGGTGGAAAAGGGAAAGCCCCTAAAATCTACCAGAAGAAGGTAGCACACATCTTCGAACTTGCAGGTATTAGCACGGAAGTTATAGGTAAGTGATTATTATCACCACTGTCATCAAAATTATCAACTCATTAGCAACCTTTATCATCATCATTTATAATCATATAAATCATTATTATTCTCATCATAAGCTTCATTATTATCAGTCATAATCATACAGTACTCTTTGTCTTTGTCCTTGTCATCATCATCATTGTCATTGCGTGTCTAGTTTAGTAGTGAGTGAAATTTTATAATGTATATGAAAATATGTAATCAACCTCTAAAATATCAATGACTGACTTTGCTTTCAGAAACTGAGAGAGCAAACCATGCATGGCAACTTATGCTAGATAAGAACTTAGATGGCTTTGATGGGTAAGAACATACTTTTTAATATTTTATTTTATCCTACAGTAATGCTATCAATCCTTTTAAAAATAAAAACATTCTTAAGTTTCAATCCCAATAATTGGTTATGATGTAGACATATCAAACAAAAATTTGCATATGATTTGGACCAGTGATATCTTATTGGAATGGTTTGCACTTGATTAAAGCACATACTATTTAGTGAAGCATAGACACCCAGGCAACACTTATAAGGACAGTGTCAACTAATTGACCTTCACAAACTTGTCTATGTACAAGCCCCCAGCAATTTGCTGCATGTACTGCAAGATGAGCACTTTTGCCCTTTTTAACGAGCAGCACTTTATAATGTTCAGTCCATTGTGATTAGCCTTGGTTTGTTTATACTATAGAGACACAATCTTGTCTAAATGGATTATCTATTTCCAATACAATTGAATAAGACATGATTAGCGTTAATGCACAATCTAAAAACCACGAACGATAATTTGTGGTCATTTTTAACGACCTTAACCTTGAAATATCTTATGTTGTGCGTGAGAGTTGGAAACAAGCACTCTTTTGAATCAGTATTTTTTAAATGCCACAATATGATTTTGAACTTCATTTCACAAGGATCTCTACCTGCATTTCTTAACAATCTAATATAAATCGTTAAAGTCGAAGATTTTCAAAATAGATAAAGTGCAATGTGTAACTTCCCCCAGTGACCCAAGCTGTGTGTTGTATTCACTACTTTAGTGGCTTTTTCAGGAGGAGGAGGGCACAATTTCACATCTTCTTCCCTAACCCAAATTCTAATTTCTTTTAAAATACATCCAAGCATGCAGCCTCCACTTCCCTTTTATCCTTGTTTTTATGAATCCGTCATGTGGTATGGTGTACGGAAGGCAGCCAAATCACCCTTACCACCAAATCTAAATCTGTATGTAGTTTAAGTAGAAACAGTTATGCTCCTGTAGCCTTTGAAAACATAGCTTTTCAGATGTATTATAAAGGCTGTGGTGAATTCATAATTGCCCTGTATTTGCCTGCTGTGTTTTTATTGCTTTGAAGTATGTCATCTTCCATGTGTCTAAGTAAAATGTCAGGTATTTAGATACACATTATACAGTTTTATTGGATTGGTTGCAGTATGCAGCTATACCATCAAAATGTTCAAGTAAGGATACTTTACTTTATAAAAATATGCTACATAATTATTTCTATATATTTTTATACCTTGATTTAAGGGTAGTCATGTGCACTTGGAACTATGAGCCCAATCACATTTATTTTATCAGCCCATGGCCACCTTTATAGCTGACTTAAAATGACCGTTCCGTTCACAGTTAGTATTTTAGTCGGCTCAGGGTTGCACTACGAATGTTCACACTTCTTTTTTGCGCCTGGTTTTTGCATATATTATGGTATAAGATGTCAAAATTGACTGCATCAAAGCAAGCGTGGCGACTTACGGTTTACGTTCTGATATCAAAAGATGAAGCGGCCCAGAGCCAATGTAATTATTAAGTGTGATTAAGCTCTATGAGATGCTAAAAAAATGCAGACAATGGATACATGAAACTAGGAGATTCTCGTTACAGAATTGTTTGTGTTGGGGGAGATGGCACATTTGCAGAAGTTGTTAATGGGTTGCTACTACGGACACAACAGGATGCTGGCATTGATTATAATGATCAGAGGTCAAAGTTAATTCCACCAAAGTTGAAGATAGGAATTATTCCTGCAGGTAAGACTAGTAGTACGAGGGATGTTTATTTTATCTTCGGAACTACATTATAAGTTTGTTTTTTTTTATATATGTATTTGTCCTTGTATATTCATATCACATTATTTCTATTAATTAGTATAAAACACATTTTATTATTTTCAGAGAAATTTATTCAAATCAAGCGGGTAAACCAAACATATAACTAACTTTTTCTTCTATTTATCAAATATTTTCTAGGTAGAATTTCTTTAAAATTTGCTTTACATGGGTTTCTTTATTTTTGGTTGTAAGGTTTTTCATTTTATGTGTATTTTTGTATTGATAAGTAAGATGGAAATTAGAATTGTGTAGCTAGTAGTATGTCAGCGTATGGTCATTTTAAAATCTTGGCCTATTTATATTAATCACTTGTTAATCAATACATGAACTTGGACATCTAGATATCTGCATAAAGCTTGTTTAAAATTATTATAAATAGTAAAAATTTTGCAGCATTATACGGATATAAAATACTAAATTCTTTAGACGTAACAAGTAATAATAATATAATATGAACATTAATTGAAAAATAATCATGTTTCATTTTATAATTGTTTACTGTTTTTTTATTCAGTCGTCAGTTTGTTGGGTCTTTGGTTGTCCTTAAGTGGAAGTGAAAAAAAATCATTAAATATATCTGATTGCTTCTTTTCTACTTTTAGCTTTGTCATTGTCTCAGCTTAATAATGATAATGTTTTAATATTTATGTTTATAAAATTCAGTTATGCTGTTTTTTATTGTTATTTAAAATGTTCATTTTTGTTTCATTTTAAGCTATATTTGTTAGTATCATGTGCCCTGCATTTAGAGATTCCAATGTAAAAACAATGTTTTTATTACCATTTTAATTCTTCCATTTTATGTAACAGTAAAATATATGAGTTCAGTTTGTTACTTATTGATTATAAATTTCTTCCAGGCTCAACCGATGTGGTAGTGTATGACACTACAGGGTACAATGACCCTGTAACATCTGCTCTTCAAATTGTACTAGGTAAGGCAATTGCCTGTAGTCAAATCTGATTAAACATGAGGTTATACAAAAGCACTCATAATTTTTCTAGTGTTGCTTTTATGCATTCTTTCCTTGGTTTAAAACATCAAAGTCTAAAGTAAGAGTAAATGAGCGACTCTTTGGCCAAAGATTTGATATTTTTTTGTATACAAATCAGTTTTGGATCTGTGAATTTTTAAAGATTGAGAAATCAAACTCCAAACACCTGTTTAAATTCATATAAGTCACTAGATTATTTTGTATACTAATAGGTTATAATTAATATAGTTGTTCTTCCTGCATCTTTACTTACCTATAAATTACTGCCATTTTATTACTTAATGTAGGAGAGAATCTTGGGATGGATGTTTGTTCTGTCTTCCACGATGATAAATTAATGCGTTACACTGTCTCATTTCTTGGTTACGGATTCTTTGGGGACGTTGTGCGTGAGAGTGAGAACTACCGTTGGTTTGGCCCGAAGAGATATGAACTAGCAGGTAACAACAACAATAATCGGTAGAAATAAATATTCTTGCTATATTTAAATCACTCTTTTTCATATATATAAATAGGCATTTTTAATTTTAAAATAGGACAGAAGTGCATACTACCTTTTAACTTAACAGTAGTAAAATGTTGTCAATCTTTAACGTAGGAGCAATGCAATTTGTGGGGAACAAGTCATACCATGGTGAGGTGCGGTACGTACCGAGTGTTGATGAAGGTCATTCACCTATGGATCAGAAGCCCTGCGGAGCACGGTACGTTAAAATTTGATATTTGCACAATCAAACCAAATCAGTTTTCAGTTATTTACAAAACGTCATAACTAGATGAATTGAGTTGTTTATTCCTTCCTGAATAAATAAATTGAATGGAACACAAATACATTATAATACAAAGAGCAGTAGTGCCATGGTTCTGGTTTGGCTGCATACATATATATTTACACAATGTGCAAGGTATTGTGAAATATAAACAATATGCAATTAAACAAAACAAGATATGTCTTTTCTGCAATATGCTATGCACTATGAATTAGGCCTACAAAGAGAGCCTGGCACACACTGCGTCATACAACGACCCGAACTCCCCTCTCTGTGAACTCGAAGGTGTCTGCATTAAAACAATCTGTTGCGCTCTACATAGAGTCTTGTCTGCCAACGACCATCGGGTAATTTACATGCCAAAATTGGTCAAGTGGAAAACCGTCTTTAGCTGAATGCGCCTACAGCGTCTTTTCTCCATGGTATCACAGTAATTAAAATAGTAAAATAAAGACATGGTAAATTTCGACAAGCGACTCATGTTTTCAGGAAATGCAGTAACATTAATGGGACCACAATCGACACCAGGAGAATGGCGCGTGACAATCCAGGGAACAAGAAGCTATGATTAAGACAGCTTAGGCTGGGTAACTACTGCACTTTGACAAGGTTGACTAACTTGTTTGATGCTTGAAGTCAGGTCATTTATTTTTGTAAAAAAAGTAGCTGCGTCAGAGAAAATACAATTTTGTTTATTGAGTTATTGGTCCGGCCAAAACTGGACCAGCCGGACCACTTCCAATGGCCTTGTGATATAAAAAGGTTCTGAAATATTTAACTCTGATTTATTATGTTATTCCTAGCACCTAAATTTATTAAAAAATTATTTATTCATACTTTTAATCACCTGTTTGCTTGCTTTGCAGATGCAATATTTGCTCACAGAAAAAAACCTCAATAGATGTCAACAATGAACAGGCAGAGGAGGAAGTAGAAGAGAAAGCAATAGCTTTGGATCAGCCTGGTAAAAGAACATCTTATATATTTTGTTATGAATACCATAAACAGTATTCTTAAGAATACATCATAATTGTTCTTAGTATGGGTAACTTTGTATTTATTTATAATTATTATTTTATTATTTTTTTTTTTTAGATCATGATAATTGGAAGAGTATTAAAGGTGAATTTATGTATGTAAATGCAGCACTTGTGAGTGGTATGTGTGACAAATCTCCCACTGGGGTCTCACCTGCAGCGCACCTTGGCAACGGCTGTGTGGATTTGATCATAGTTCGCAAGTGCTCACGTATCAACTACCTCAGACATCTGATGAGATTGAGCTCATCAGCAAACCATGTAAGGCTCTGTCTAAGTTTTTTGTAAAAATACCTGTAATTTGCCCATATATGTTTGTGATATGACATCATCATGCCCATATATGGGAGTTATATGACATTATTATCCTCAAATATGGGAAAAAGTGCAAGTTAGTTGTCACAGCATGTGAACAGATCATTAGGCCACTCTTCCTGTTTTGTCTATTTTCTGTGATTATCAAAAAAAATACATAATAGTGTCTTCATTTGATTTAATCTACTATATTAAGGAAAAAGTCTTATTACTATAAAAGAACACACATGTATGATGTATACCCTACTCATTCTACACTACGTTACGATCAGATTCGATGTAATCGGTGGTAATCCAACTCTGATTTACTCCTGATCACAATCAACGGGTGCATTCAGACCAAATCAGATACAAATACTTTATATTTGAATGGGAGGTCAAACAGTACTAGACCTCCAGTGACTAGACCTATGTTGACTGACCTCAGCCAATCAGTGCCAGGAATTCGTTGTGATCATATTTCATGGAATACAGGAGTATTAAAGAATGTAGTACCCAATCGCAACAGGTAACAATTGTGATATCGGTTAAGTATTGACTACTATTGCCGAGCTTTCACACATGATTGTGAATTGCGTTAGGGTGTTGCAGTTGCTACAATTCAATGCCATGCTAGTCTGAATAGGGTAGTAGACAATCACACTGGCTGAACAGGATTACATAAAAACATACACCTTAGGTCATTAAAAAATTACTGTCCAAAATACTTTGTTGATACTCTTTCGAAAATTGATTGGTCTGAGGTGATTGCTGTATCTGATGTTAATGTGGCTTGGAAAAGTTTTGTTAGTATACTTATGAATGTGGTAAATAATGTTGCCCCTTTGAAACTAGTAAGAATAAAACAAAAAACAGAAGACTGGATAACAGCAGATGTATTAAATAATATTAACAAAAGAAGCAAATTAAAAATAGGCTAAATAAAAACAGAAATAATAATGATTATCTTAAAGAATTTTGAAAAATATGCAACAAAATTCAAAGAACAATCAAACAAGCCAAGCCAAAATACTTTATGTATACCCTTAATGATAATAAGAGCAATCCTTCTAAACTCTGACAAATTTTAAAGAAGTTGGGATTTAAAAATATAAATAATATTAAACAAGATATTTCTTTAAATATTGATGGCAAACTCTCTTTTGATATTAAGGACAATGTTAATCATATGAATTATTTTTTTACGGATGTTGCATCTACCTAGTCAATACTTTGCCTTACACTAGTGATAAATGTCCAACTGAAAATCAAAATTTTCAAAATTTCTACAAGAACAAAATTGATAAATCAAACCCCTTCGTTCTCCAAAAAATTGATGAATAGTATATTGAAGAACAATTAAATGGATTAAACCCAAATAAAAGTTATGGCCTGGACAATGTCCCTCCAAGATTTCTCAAAGATTGGTCTTCTATTTTAAAAATCCACATAACACACATTGTGAATCTTTCAATTGAATCCAATAGGGTTCCTGATGATTTTAAAATGGCAAGAGTTACGCCTGTTTTTAAAAAATATGATGCACCGATGTAGGGAACTATAGACCAATCAGTATTGTTAGCTGTATTTCAAAAATTCTTGAAAGAACTGTGTATGATCAACTGTCAAATTACTTGAAATATAATAATCTATTATTTGAATTCCAATCTGGATTTAGACAATTGTATTCAACAGATACTTGTCTTATCCATCTTTTGGACCACGTGAAGAATAAAATGTCAATAGGTTTATTTACTGGAATGGTCTTCTTGGACCTTCAAAAGGCGTTTGACACTGTTGATCATGGAATTCTTTGTAATAAACTTAAAATCGATTGGAGTTAAGTCACATGCATGGTTTAAATCATATCTATCAAACCGGTCACAACTCGTCCAAGTAAACGGGGTTTCAGGTATAGAGAAGAAACAAATGATTAGAATGCAAACAACTCAAAACAAAATGATTCGGTTTATTAAAAATTTAGGTCCACGGTCCCGTATTGGCCAAAGACAATTAGCTGAAGTTGGTATTTTTAACGTTCAAGATAGAGTTAAATTTCTTCGCTTATGTCACGTTTTTTAAAATTCTCAAAATACTTGTCCAGTTTATCTAAAAGATAACTTTGAAAGAATAAACCACAATTATAAAACAAGACACAGCTCCCTTAATTTTAGAATACTGTACGTTACTTCGGTGGCATCTAAAACTTTCTTTTTTAATGCTATAAAAAATTGGAACTCTATGCCTTTGAAAATTAAATCTTGTCAAGTCCTCAATACTTTCAAAATAAAACTTTAAAAATTCTTAAATAATTGTTCAACTGAAGAAGGTGGGGATGTTTTTATGTAAATTTTGTTTTGTTGTTTGTCTTAATTGTCAACGGACCCCATTGGAAATAAGTCTTTGGACTTTATGGGCGTTCCGGGCATCCTTTGTGTCTCTTTTTATCGATTTTATGTATTTTATCTGTAATGTATATACTGGTTTTTTTTATGATGCCAAATAAAGTCAAATCAAATCAAACTAAATCTCTTAGCTCTCTAGCATTATGAAAGTACTAAGTACACAATAAAATCACTTTCTTATAATGTATGTAATTTTTTTAAATTTCTGTTTCCCTCCTCATCATTATTCATTATCAGTAATCAATTATTAATTATATGTATGATTTATTCCCTTCTAGTTTGATTTCAATTTTGTTGAAGTTAAACGAGTGAAGAAGTTTAAATTCCGACCGCTGACACCCAACGAGTCCTCACCAAACCCGATGTACAATTCCACATTGGATAACCTGGACCTTGAAAGCAATTTCTTCAAGAGATCCTCCGCCAAATACCGACTTCCCCGGTCCTCAAGCACGACAAGCTCAAGTTCGTGGAATATAGATGGAGAAATTGGTAGACTGCCAGCAATAGATGTCAAGTAAGTCATAAGGCTCTTTATAATCACAATTATCATAGTACAACCTACCAAGTCTGGAACTTTCAGAACAGGATGCATGCATTTTTGACACCCATCAAATAGTCGGCATTCAAATGCCATGTATCAGCCAACAAATCTTGCGTTTGCCAGTAAACACAATCGGTGACCACAAACCAGGGGTTGTATATTCCCCACACTGTAGAATACATGCTCATTATATCATGTAAAAGTATAGAGGAATTAGTGTTATGGTTTTTAATCAACCAAATTATAGTTTGCAAAGTAAGGCTGTATGATGTTCAAAATAGTATTTTAGCGTTCATTCTAGCATTCTCTGTGTATTTTAAGCTCTAGAATTAGGATTATAAAGCATTACATTAATAATGTAATGCTTTATAATCCTGTCAGGGAATCAATAGTCAGCCAATCACCACTTGCACTACCTCATATGCCCGCTGATATTGCTTTTTAACAGCTTAAAGATTTGGTGCAAGTATCTCATTACATTAGTAAACCATTCTGACAACTTTAGGAAATTGGAATTGGGAAAAATTCCAAGTCATTGTGAGTACTTTCCAAAAATTATGTTAAGATCTATGTTGTGTCTAACTGCAAAAACACTGCAAAGAAGCCATACTGTTTCCTATACTGTGCCTCACTTGCTCTATTTGTTTACAATCTAGCACCCAGTTAAGGATGCACGATTTACTAAAACTTGGCATGCCTGCAAGGAACTGGATATGCACTTGGTTTGATATAAACAAGTGGTATTAGATGAATGACAATGTAGTATATCATAAATGTTATGATTCAGATTGTAACCATCTTCTATTATATTTTACAGTGTGCATTGTCAACTTATCAATGTGTTTGCCAGAGGAATTGAGCAATTTGATGATACCACATCCTGTAACTTCTGCTGCAAAGCCAATAAAAACCATCGATGCTAATATAGATTGCAGTATATAGTTAATTCACCTTGAAATAAACTAATTATGTCTGTGTAGTGATAAATTTTCTTGTCTGTATATTTTATTTAATCATATTTTTACCTAAATCTTTACTTACACACTATAAAGTGAGATAAATGCTGAAGTTTCATCTAATGTTAATTATTTCATATGCATTGTTATTATTTTGTTTGCTACAACTATTTTTGAGACAAATTATAGGATTATAAGTACCAGAAAGAGATATAAAGTTTGAAAATTTATTTTTTAGCTAATTTGAATGCCATCATACATTTAATTCCAAAAACAAACAGTATTTTGTCTACGAGCACAAGTCAATGCTAAAAATGCAAATATGATTACTGTTCCATAATATTGTGATTTAAAAGGACAATTTTTACCATGTAATAAATGCTAAATTTTTCACAAAGGGACCTCTGGACTGAACTGACTAAAAGCCGTAGGCTACTCTTTTGTTCAAACTTACCTCTCAGAATTGCCAGGGCCCCTGTTGGCAAATTTCCAGCGCCATCATTGTTTAGACCCTGTAGCACAAGTATCTTTTTGTTATATATTCTGGCAAGCTATTTTTTACTAGTTTTAGAAGTACTATACTGGAAAATTATTCTTTCAAATTAAATACCTCTAGAAGAACGAAAATAATGCAACCTCACAAATAAGAATAAAAAAATAATTAAATGATTTTTTTAGTAAAGTATATTTATTAAATGCAATCCTAAAAATCATAGGATCTCTACAATATTTTCCAATGCAAAGAAAAAATAAGCTATACAGATTAGATCTAATATTAGTGCAATAAGCTATCTTTTGTGTTCAGATATCAATGCATATAGCTAGAGATAATTCCACTATTGGCTTTATTACAAAAACATATGTATATAGAATATATATTATATTTGATTAAGAAATGATTAAGAAAATGGCATAGTTTTTGCTTCCCACGGTTTCTTAAGGATATGGTTTAAATCTAGAATGAGGTCATTAAAAGGGAGTCTTCCCGATTGGTTGATTTGGAAAGGGCTAATTGGTTTATATTTAAACAATTTTTTATCAAACTTTTAGATTTGTTTTCCTTTTCGCAACAGATGTTTGTATCTTTGATTCCACCATAAGTGATTGTAACTTAATGAGTGAGAGTAGGAAGTAAGAATCACTTTTGTATTAGGAACTAAAGCCTTTTCAAGACTATTAAATTTTATGTTATTTTTATGATGTGGCTATATATGGTCATGATGTGGCTATATATGGTCATGATGTGCCTATATATGGTCATGATGTGCCTATATATGGTCATGATGTGATGTCATTATGACCATATTTAGACATGTCTTTGTGCCTGTACAGGGCTTCATGGGTCTTAAGTGCCATGTTGAAGTCTATTTCGTGAATACTTACCTGGATAACCGACTAATTGCCATTGTTCCCAAAACGGAACACCCCTTCGAAAAAAATGGAACAGTCTGACCCAATGCGCCGCATGCGAACCGTCTCCCTAACCAATGTCCTCATTCTTTTGAAATAGAAAATGTAGACTTAGATTTGTACAAAAATTTTGAGCTTGAATTTTAAATCGCCTTTATCATGTGATAACTTAATTGAAGAATTTTATAGAAAGAATTTGGTAAAATATTAATTAAGCTATTGAATTGTGATCGATTTAAGAGAAAAGAATTTTGTATATGTTGTACAAATGAATAATTTAAGACTGTGAAGGGGTATTTAATTAAATAATCAGGAATGGCTAAGATACAGATCTTTGAATATTAAAATATCGGGAGAAAAGTGCTAGCAATAGTTTTTTCTGTGGATTTGAATGCTAATGCACCGAGTCCCAGCATCTTGCCATGTTTAATACCTGATTCATGCGTGTGCAAGAAAAAATTTAGCATGCGTTCCCTGCCACATTGTATCCATAATGATGCACATCCATAAAGAATATGCCAATTCGTAGTTTGCACTGCACATGCTTGTGTCAAGGTCAATTGACATAAACAAACATGCACACAACATAGGTTTATGTTGGTCGACTTTTGATAGGGAAATGCACATTTCAAACCATGAATTGGCTTATTAACATGCGTCCCTTGTAAAATATGTGTATGTAAAAGACATTGCAGAGCCCTATAACACCCTCAAGGTATTTAGTATGGATCTGTGTACATGGTAACAGGGCTTGACTTAATTTTGACTGTAGAGTTGTTTGTATCATCACTGGCTGCATATCAATTTTATTGACAACGGTTATTTGGTAGAATTACATCACTAAAGCCTTGTAATTTTAGCACACGTACGGTGTAAAATTTTATTTCATGTTTATTTACATGTTGGTAAATTGTACATGCTTTAAAAAATGTTTCTACATTTTTAAAAGGTTAACATTGATAGCTCATTTTGTGGTTTTTGTATTTATGCACTTCATATATTACTGTATATTGTGAATGTTTGGGAGTGTTTTTTAACCATTAGGTGATGATGATTACTCATCAATTATCTGATATGGTTTGGTCACACATTTGATAACTGCAAGAAACTGTTGTATGTCCATATATAGTCATGATGTGCCTATAACTGGTCATGTGATGTCATATTTAGGCATGTTTGAATTTTCATCAACCCACCTTCATTCACATTATACATTCCAAATTTTTAGAATTGTTATTGAAATGTTTTGGTGATGTGTCTCTAAATAAAGATTTCTTTCTAAAGATTAAATTAGTTGAATATATGATATGATATATTGATTAAAGAGAGAGTATAATATTATATCAGTTTGTATTAAGCTTTAAAAATTGGGCCTTCACCATTATATAGAATATGGGTGGTGCTATATTCATTATCACATAACTTAATAATTTTTATGAAGCCTTGTTTCAAACAAATCATGCACAAAGAAAAATCTATCTTTAAAGTTTATAGTATATGTTAAACCGTGTGGTATAGCAGGAAGGCTTGGGCTTCCAACAGAAATGTCGGAAGTTTGAGGCTGACCTAAATTTTGTTTCTGTCTGGACTTGCTAACCGATAGCGCTTGCTAACCGTTAGCGTATCCGGATACCATTAACGGTTAGCGCTAACCGAGCAGGCGTTCTCACGCAGGTGCTAACGGTTAGCTCCCGATCCGGATACTTGCTCTCGTGAGAACCAGGCTCAAGTTATAAATATATATTTGAATGTGTAAGATTGATTACAGTAAGATTATTTTTGTAAATGTATTTAGTATTTTTGGGGTTATCAATGCATATTAATAGTAGTGTGTGTATGTTATGTGTGAATTTTCTTCAAAACTTGGTTTATGTTACTATTATGTAGTAATTTTTTCAGATGAACAATATTTGTTGTGAATATTAAAGTTTATGATCACCAATCTGTTCTGTTCATATTATGAGAGAGCACCTTAGCTCAGTTGGCTAAGCTTGTGGTATATGCATACTGTGTGTGGAGACATTTGGGTCCCTCATTCAATTTTACTACTACTCTGCTCTCCTACTTTACCTGAAGACAGGTGCTCGTTGCATTGGCCAACAAAATTCCACGGAGACCAAAACGTGCACGACAAATTCAGCTTTCCGCTAAGCCCCGCCCCTTGGATTTTGCTAAGGTCCCACAAAGCGTGCGTTTGAGCTTTCACACCAATTTAGAATTTTCGGATCAGAAAGCTTATCGAACTGATTAGAATATCGAATCAGTATTGAAGAATAGTAATGCTTGTGTGCAGCACATCGGAAATATGGTTTGAATTTCAAGTCGGATTAGATGTGAATACAGCATTTCCGTCAGTGAGCAACAGTGGCGGCTCTGAGATACATTTTCTGGGGGGAGGGGTGAAGCTAAGCTGTCCGATGGGGAATTGAGCTTGTATGCCTGAGAAGGGGGAGGATTTGGAAGGGATTGATGCAAGCCTATTTTAATTTTTTAATTGTTCCGCGACTGCCTGACGAGCTCGGCCGGTGGAGGGCTTGACTTGTTCGATGGGGAAGTACCCCCCCCCCCCCCCGCTGGCATCACCACTGGTGAGCAGCGAAAGGTTTACCAATAAAAAACTTTGTTGATGTAATAGGATGCAAGTACAATCACAACAGTAAAACATCTATTATAAAAAGCAAGCATATCTTGACATCTGACATTGTATTGTATTATTTTTATTAGTGATATCTTAGTTATATGCTTTTATTTTAATTCAAATCACGATACATAAACATAGAATTCAATTGTGTAAGAAAGGCATTAAAATACGTCATAACTAAAAACGCAGAGGGAATCTTCCCAGACATTCGTGGCCCCTCTGGCCCCTTCGTTACGCCACTGACGAGAACTCGAGGAAACCATTAAAATTTCTACTAGCACTTTAGAGCCACTAGATTTTCCCAGGGCTTTCTGCTGCTAGATCATAGTGGCTGCTCCCTGACCAAGTCTGCATAAGTTCTTGCATGTGTCCCTAATTGCTTGTTTTGCTATGGAGATATTATGAATGATTACATGTAGCAACAATTCAAATAGTCAACCAACATCATATCCACTTTATATTTTTGTAGCAGCCTTAAGAACATACACTCAGTGACCAGGGGAACTTTGAATGTTTCCTGTCCCCAGCCGACCATGAGCTCACTTTTCCCACATTAATCAGGGGTGGCGCCAGGATTTGCCCGACGGGGCGGAGGGGGGGGGGGCGATACCCCGACGAATGGTCAGATTTCCCCGACGAAAGCAAAGTGGACGTGGTCAAGTTTCGATTAAAAAAATTTTGACAATTTAGGGATTACAAAGGCTTATTTAATCGATTTTAGAGTCTACTTATATGTAGAAAATAGATATAATTCTTTTTTCCTCCCCGGCGGATTGTGCTTTTTCTCCCCGGCGGATTGTGCTTTTTCTTCCTGACGGGGTGGGGGGCCTGCTCTCCCCGACGGGCCCTGCCCCCCACCCCGTTTCCCCGCTGGCGCCACCTCTGACATTAATACCACATGATTCTGGGTCCACCCCAAAAAATTAAAAAAACATAAAAAGAAACATAATCACAATTTCAAGTGTGCCATAATCATACATTTTCTTATCTCAGCCCCACAACGGCTGGAGGTTGATGATTGCTCATAACCGCAAGGGAAAGGCGCAATCTAAATACTCATTATCACCTAGGGCGCATGCAGTTGGCGGTTGGCGGGGGGGGGGGGGGCGTGAGAGTCGGCGGGGGGGGGGGGTGCGTGAGAGTCCACACTACCTCAGCCAAAGGCTACGTTCAGACCTGTGAGATACGCCAGGCGTATCTAACGCCGGGCGTGCGTTAATCCATGGCGTCATCTGTCTCTTATACACATCTAGATGTGTATAAGAGACAGGACCTATATATATATTTTTTAGTTAAGACATCATTCTTCTATGTCGAGACCTTCATACAACATTGCATTCTTCTCATTCATAAGATGTAAGGGTGTCTACAAAATGAAGACCGAAAACCTAAAAAATGAAGACCTCCACTAGAATAACATTAAATTGACTCAGATTCAGGCAAAAATAATTTTTGAAATCATTTCATGCTATGTATATATAATATTATTATATATACATAGCATGAAATGATTTCAAAAATTATATTCGTCACGATTAAGAGAAAAAAAAATGTGGACCTTTCTTCGTTTTTCGGGTCTTCGGTCTTCGTTTCGTAGACACTTGTGATTAAGGTGTGACTTTGATAATCGATCCCCTCTTCATATGTGCTCATTTATAAAACAAAATCCTTGTTTTAAATATGTTCATAATGACTAGTCTCTGTTTAAAAGTAACACTTCCAATTAACAATGGACGAGGCCATTATATATTTTTTTGCATATTTAAGCTAATTTTCATATAAACAGGACATCATGTGACCAGTGTGATTTATGAAATGTTATCCCCTCATCATACGTGTTCCTTTTATCAAAGAAAAACTCTTGTTTGCAATATGTTCAGATTGTCTAGTATACTATTTAAGGTAGCCCCTATTTTGCATATTTAATATAATTTCCATATGAACGGGTCTTGTGATTAAGGTGAGATTTCCGAAATTTTGATCCCCTCTATGTGTTCTTTCATATAAGAAAAACCTTTTTTTCCCAAATATGTTCTGTTGTCTAGCCTACTGTTTAAAGTAGCATTTCCAATGAAAAAGGGGGCGTGTCCATTTAAAAATGGGTGTGGTCATTTTCGGGCTGTTCGTCCCGGATAGAGATTTTGGTACACATCCCATGTTGTTCCTAGGGTTCATATTAGTCTATAATAGTCGGGATGTTCTCTCCTAAATTTAGTGCATACAAATCTTAGTCAGATCCTCTACTAATTCTACTAAGTGCGTGGTTGGCTGGGTTATTTTGGTGGGGAAAGAGAAATTTTCCCTGCTGAATTGATTCTCGAACGAGATAACGAAAGTTCTCTATTGACTTAAGCTACTGCATGACCTATATTTAATAAAATCAATTTCTTATAATTTTAAATACATTTTCCCCTGAATTCGTTATCACGCATAGACTTGCGCTAAATGATGCGTGGCAAATTTATGATCACGCATGTGTTTTTGTAAAATGCGTATTTCATCCAAAATCACTTTGAAATGCGGGACCGTCCCCGCGAACGATGCGAGACGGTTGGTAACTATGCCATAATACAAGTGTTAATTCACAAGCCATTTGGATATCATCATCATGTTGGAATGCAGGATATAAGACTTCTTGTCTTAGCATCAATCAATAAACCACTAACTGTAACCACTAAACTATTGAAGAGTTTCTTCACCTTTATAACTGTTAGTTTCACTATTAAATCTAAGTAATGTATAACATATGTAAATATAAATAAGATAGGAATATCCGAGCATATCCTAACACATATCTTAACACACCCATATAGGGTGTCTATAAAACGAAGACCCTTGAAAATACAAACCGACGTCCAAAAAATTTCGTAATTTTAATTTTGTGACTGCCTGGTTTATTATTAAAATAAAAGACAAAAAATAGGGGTCTTCGTTTTTGGTTCTTCGGTCTTCGTTTTATAGACACTCGGATTAAGATTGGAAAATCCATAGACTAAGTACAGTATTGCAGTAGGCCCTACATAGTATAGGCATTGAATTGTTTTCATTTCTTTTTGTAATTACGGCCTTATTCCTACCGCTAAAACAAGACTAACTATTATGGCCTATGTATTATTTCACCATGTGTAGGCCCCATAAATTGATAATATTCCAGAAATCCTAGTTTTGGAAAGAAAAACACACAGGGACAACTTAAATTCGTTGTACCATGGAGGAATTAGTTGTACGGACTGTATTTTACTATGCTGTGTTATTACAATGCCCACACTTCGAGGAGCAAAATTAAGACAAACAGTATACAGAAGCTTAAATTATGCATGACGTCAACGTTACGAAGCCACGCATCCTCGGCTGAACCCGTTGTATTTAGCAACTACCAAAAATAACTTCATGAAAGTTTTAGATAATCGGTAATTATAGAGGGCAGCAATCATGTTTTAATAAAGATCACACGTTATTTTTTATCATCGGTTCGTTTTTACCAGTTATTGAAAGATTTAATTGAATTTTATATCGATTAATTGACATTATGTTGATTGTAATTGTCGGTGTATTTTTACTGTGAAGATTCAAAACTTCATATGTTTTAAAGAACCGTAATCGTAACAAACAGCAACATACTTTTTCTTCATGCAGTGTAATTAATTTAGAAGCCTTGATATCGGTAAATTGCAGTCTGTCGCCCTCTATTTCCTTCGAGATAACAGAAATTATTTGTCTGCCGCCCTCTCTATTCCTACCCAAAGCCTCACTGCTAACTGTTCTTGTTCTTGTTTGATTTTTTGTTCTTGTTACAAAAACTTTAAAAGCGTCCAGTGTCGCCAGTTTTAAATGGGTCTATATGAAAATTTGTACACATAAACTAGAGGAGATTTCCAACAAACTTTCATAGCTTTTTTTTTTAAGTTGGACTGCGGGGCTCCCCATACATCTAAAAAACTAAACAGGAGTTTCAAACTTTAAAACAGCATCGGCCAGATTTGAAGGGATGTGCAGGAAATGTTGTACACAAACTAGAGGTGATTTCAGCTTCTAGAGAAGAGAAAGTCAACAAAAAGGTACTGGGTTTGAGTCCTGCGGCAAGGCCGATTTTTCTCTTCTGTTACGGTCCATAGGCCTATATAGGAATGGAATTCATGATATTTTTTATGTTCAAATGCTATGTTAGAATCCGTTTTTTTATCACATTATTTTGTAAGTTTGATCCAATTAAAGTATTCTTATTTTTATTTTACTGTATGTACAAATTGGATTGTGATGTTTATAAAAGACATAATAAAGAATGAATCAATGAACAACAA